AGACCTAGTCTTATTTCCTCCAGACCAAAATAACTCTTGTGATACTTGTTCGAGAGTCATTCAGTGTTTTACAGCTGAATTTATCTGTACTATGGCACTCAATAACCAGTCTGATTCCTTCAGATTATATTTATTACTTAAAGTTTTGAGAGTGCTCTCCAGTTTAACTCTAAACTGCTGTAAACCTTTGTAAGTGTGATCTGGAGATTTTAAATTAACAATGATATTCACTAGATCCAACCTACTTTGTTCTATATTACCATAATGACTTTCAAAAAGGGTCAACTGCTTTCCTTGTAAGTCATCTACATTGGGAAAGGCTTGTATGAGTATGTGAGCATCTCTTACCTGTCCTTTGAGGTAAAATAATTTAGTTACACAGGATTAGATACAGGCAAACATAGTTCTGGGAGTTTTGGCAAAGACATATTATTTGTTGGAGCAGACTGATTAACTGTCCGGGTTTTTACACATTTTAATTTATTAAAGGGCCCTGATTTTACAAGAAAGAATCTTTTCCTCTAATTCATAATACTGATTAATCATGAGATCTACTTCAGTCTCATCTACACAGTTTACTAACAAATCTCCTTCATATTTATTGTAATATAATTTGCATGAATCATATCTATTACCTAAAGCATCTAAATACAATTTTAAATCAGTATTCACAGTTTCTTGATTCATTAATTCCAAGCATTTATTGTATGTTTTTGTTACATGCCTTGTTTTAGCTTGCATTGATGCTTTCTTTGCTCTATATTCCACATGTTTCTCTTCTACATTAATTTCCTCATTTTCAGCCATGATGCAATGTATTAAATTCAACTTTATTAATAACACTGATTACAACTTACAACACTGATACAATTTTACCTCTGAATAAATCCTAGCTACTTGAGCTTAGCAATTACATATAAAAAATTATATAATTTTAAAGTGCATTAATACAAACCTTTAGCCAGCCTTGGCTTATCAAAATTAATATTATACAAATTAATAAATCCTTGCCAAAATTGGCATAGCAAATTAATATAACAATTAAAAATTAGTTACACTTGGTTTTATCAATTACACATACACTGATATAAATTTTGGCCAGAATTATCTTATCAAATTAATATTATACAAATACATTAATATAAATCCTAGCCACTTTGGCTTTGCAAAATTAATATACACATTAATATAATTAGCTACACTTGGCTTATCAATTACACATACACTGATATAAATCTTGGCAGAATTATCTTATCAAATTAATATTATACAAATACATTAATAAAAATCCTAGCCATTTTGGGCTTTGCAAAATTAATATACACATTAATATAATTAGCTACACTTGGCTTATCAATTACTCATACACTTATACACATTAATATATTCTTTACCCACACTTGACTTATCCAAATTAATATTGTAATAATTATAATCCACTACACATTAAGTAAATTTGTGAATTTAACATCCACCTCCTTCTGTCATTTCACATATAATTATTAAGTAATTAACTAATTAATGACTTCACTAACTACCTCCGGTTCAAGAAGGACCAACGGGCAAATTAAATGTGGAAAATTGCATTTATCTGGATGTAACTAATTATGTAGATAACAGTAAATGATAAAGATAATTATTTATCAATGTTACATAGACATGTAGGAATTTGGGACACCTAGGTCACAAAAAATGTCCCCCTTCGATACCTACCACTGTCATAACCACAAGTTGCTCTGGACCTATTAATTAAATGAAATATACATACACCAGGAATACCGGTAAATATATAAATTTTGTGGACTGTATATTAAAAATAATAAATGGTTATATATATACACAAGTACATAACAGAAGGAAAATATATCTTAATATCACTCACCAATTTGACTGGAGATTAAGGTGTATCATACTCAGAAAACCCCCGTCTACATTCATGATAATAATACTGGCCAGAACTATAAACATAATATAGACATGACTTAGCTGGGGTTCCTGGAGTTGTCTTGTCCAGTCGCCTGATTCTCAAATTATGCAGGAATGCACATCCAACAATTTCGCCTCCTATTTGAGAGGTGTCAACCCAATTTTAACCTCTAGAGCACGAAAATCCTTCACATTATTAATTAACGTCTTACTCTATTCAAACAAAATGGCGACTGACTCCCCCAGCCACAGGTTTCCCATTTTCGATATCATACTTCTTTTAAAAATACAATATAGGGCATCTATTTACCTATAAATTACCGTATTTCCGGAAAATATATACAGTATTTTCCACAACTATGATCTTCAGGACAGGTGATGTCAAGCCAATAATGATATTCTTTAGAAATGTGCTTAAGTATCGGTGTTGGTTAGTACTGGCGAATTTTGATGGTATTTGTATCGGCCTAAAAGTGAGTGTTGGCATTGGCAAGAATTGCTCTGCATTTACATCTGTTTTAATGCTGGTTTGAAGAATATTCAGAGAACCTTTACGTAGATAAATTCAGTCAAGCACTTAAATTATGGGGAACATCTGAAGTCCTTTGATCTGTACTCCTTGGAATGTAGGCAGGGAGGATTGGTTCTAAATATGTACACACAAATTGCTTTATGAGAACAGAGGCTCATCAACCTATGCAATTCCTCCACTGAAAAGTAGAGGTGCAATGAACACAAGAAACTCGGCAAAAATAACAGAAAAAACAAACGAATTAAATTCCAATGATGTGTGCTCATTTCTCTGTTATTTGTCCACAGCTTTTTTCAGGGTAGGAGAGAGATCACAGCTGAAAATGTACAAAGATCCTTTACTGCCTACATAGCTAAAATAAGAAACATGTAAAGTACATGTACTAGGAATGCTTTAAAGTACAGAGGAGAGAGAGAGAGAGAGAGAGATTGATTTATTCATGAAATGGTATACTTGAGGGCCAGGTTCCAAATGAACACACTTGACATAATTTACTGGAGTGTGAGAAATGGAAGGAAATAAAAGGGTGCCATAGGGACACCATTAGAGAAAACTGTATTACCATGTTTGGAACAAGCTTATTCAACCTTTTACCATCAGATATCAGAAATATTGCTGGAAAAAAGGATAGAAATCTTCAAAGGAAACCAGTTTTTTTTTTCCAGGATGCACTGGATCAGCCATGTTATGGCTATCTAGGCTGACTGCAGCCTGTCTGGTACATCAAGCTGTCACCCAGGAAACCTGCATGAGTAAAAATTTATGAGACCAATAAGTTGCACTTCTCTACCTTTTTATTTTAAAGGCATGTTGTATCATAATGTTGTTTGTTTATCGTGCTCATGAGATGCCATAACCAGTGAAAAAAGAAATGTTTATAGTTTTTGCTTTGTATTACTAGCTACTGGCCCTTGTAAACCTATTAATTGCATCAAACTAGACATGGAAATTGTTCTCCCCTTGAGGTACGTATGTTTGCTGTCTGGGGGTGGTGGATTACCCTGTTAACCCGGGCCGTATAATAATAGGCTCGCTCATTGTCACTGTCAAGTGGGATAGATTGTGCATAATGGAAAAAAAACATTGGGATCCATTACCCTTTTAATTGTTTTATTGTTTTTGGCTTCCTGGGGATCAGTGCTCACAGAACTGATTAACCATGTTACCAAGACTGTGAGGGACTTCACTTGGGTAATTGTGTAACAGGAAACCTTGGAAGTATCTGCATAAATTGTCTTGTTCATGAGGATTTACCAAAAATGTCTATTTCTGATGACTTTTACTAGGCATAGAGTGTGTGTGTGTGTGACTCACCTATTTTTTTACTCACTATTTGTGGTTGCAGGGGTCGAGTCCTATCTGGGCCCGCCTTCACCGGGTTTCTACTAGGCCCCCTCTCTCCCCGCTCCATGACTTATCAAACTCGTCTTAAAACTGGTAAGGTTCTGCCCCCACTACTCATTTTCTAGGGTATTCCACTGCCTTACAACTCTGTGGTGTGTGTGTGTGTGTGTGTGTGTGTGGTGTGTGTGTGTGTTGTGTGTGGTGTGTGTGTGTGTGTGTGTTTGTGTTGTGTGTGTGTGTAGCACTGGTGGATAGGCTATAATTTTCTAAAACCAAATGCGATTTTCGGTGAAGTCCACTAAGAAAGTGGGCTCTTTCTTCGTGAGAGTAAGTAGCCCTGTGGTTACCAAACAAATCTTTTTAAATAGTACACTTTACGTTGAAAAAAAATGAGGAAAATAGCTAAGTCCCATTATGGGATATGGGTATTATGTGGAGAATAAATTTAAATAATATGGAGAAGCAGCAGGATGAAGAGCACCCCATTAAGGGCAAGCAAAACAAGGCCGTGAAACCAGACAAGTCTCAAGTCATTGGCCTGACCATGGACTAAGGTTCGTATTTGGACTACGTGTGTCCAACAGCAGTAAGTTTGAACAGACCTTGAACCTCCAGGGAAGGCCTGGTCTGGACCAGGCCGCAGAAGCGTTTTACCCCCCCCTCCCATTCTCCCCAGAAACGTCTTTCAGGTATACTTAAGGAAATGTCCTTTAGGACAAAAATACATAAGAAAATTTGTGGAACATTACTAGGGAAGAAACTGGTGCTGTAGACCTACAGTTAGGGAATTAAAGGAATTTATCTGTTAGGGAATTTCCAAGTGGTGTTAAATGCAAGAACTACACTAGGGAATCTTATGTCTTGATAAACCTTTGTTTTTAAGTTCTTGTGCAGTATATATCTTGTTTGATTGAGCTTATTTGTTCATTGGCAGGTCTCCAAGAAGTGTTTTATTGACCCACATCCATTTCACACTCTGCCTCCTTCCAAACGAAAGCTCCCCTTCCCCACTTGCCAGTCTCCCACTCCCACATCATAGCTTTCTTAAAACTAATTCTGTACACATTTTGCTACAGCTTGTTGATGTATGCCACATTCTCTTAGGTAAGTCTTCCAAGTAATTATCTTAGTATTTTGAGTATCAGATTAAGGAATGTGACAAGGGACACATTGCATTGAGTCTGACTGTTTGTTTCAGGAAGCGGTGCGTGAGTGTGAGAGGCGTGTGGTGACACCAGAGGATGCAGATGACTTGAGCCCCATGCCCACACACATAACCACCAGCAAGACCAGACGAGGGGCCATATCTGCAGAGCCCCTCTCAGAGGATGATGCCACCTCTTATGTTAAGAAGGTACAGTGTTGCTTCTCCATCCCCATGCTCATACCACTATGAAACCTTACTCCCATTACATTACATATATTATTATTATTATTATAAGTTTACCCACCCTCATATCCACATGCTTAACCCATCCTTATGCAACATGGTTTTACCCATTCTCGTACCTATGTGCTTACCCAGCTTTGTTCCCACTTGTGGTCTCATACTCACACTCCTACTTGACCCTATACCCACATGTTCACTCACCCTCGTGACCCCCCCCCTCCTCCTTCCCCACATACTTTCCAATGGTCATAGCATTTATTACCCCCATGTAAACCACTCCAATTACATGGCATTTTTATTTATCTTGAGCAATACAGTGTGATAATAAGTTGGACAAAGTTTCTCAGCTGATTTGCAACTGGTTCTGTTTGAAAATATGTTAATATTATAAAATCAGTTGTTTGGTAATTATGTCATTTATTTCAGGTGGTTCCCAAAGATTACAAAACCATGGCTGCCCTGCAGAAAGCTATTGGAAAAAATGTACTTTTTGCTCACTTGGACGAAAATGAGCGCTCCGATATTTTTGATGCCATGTTTCCAGTTAATGCCTTGCCTGGAGAGGTTATTATACAGCAGGGTGACGAGGGCGACAACTTCTATATTATGGACCAGGGAGAAGTTGAGGTAAGAGAACTCTTAAACTAACGATAAATTGAATTTGCCTAAATTTCTCAAATTAAGTGTATTTAGACATGCTAACCCTTAAGCAACTGTAATTTTGGTGGACAAGTTTTTGTATTATAGTAGAAACTCGTATTATACAGATTTTTTGGCATGTTTTGGTTATTACACTGTTGAAAAATTGCGGCATAAATTTATACAAGACTTCGTAAAATTAACTTAACACAGCTTAGTTTACGGGAAGGGACAAAAATTGAAGTGTTGCCCGTGGGATATTTCCCTAGCTCAGGCCGCCGCCTGGCTGTGGGCGAGACCACTGTCTCCACGGGGCTGCACCAGGCTTCAAGGCAGCAAAGGATTGCTTCACCTTGCTCCTTTGCGGTAATGCGTCAGGCGATTTCAAGTGTAAGCCCATGGTTATTTACCGCTCTAAGAATCCTCATGCTTTGAAATGTGTAGATAAAAATACCTTACCAGTAATTTGGAGGTCAGATCAGTCAGCATGGATAACAGGAAATATTTATTGACTGGTTTAACCCTTTCAGGGTCCAAGGCCAAAATCTGAAGTGGTGCCCCAGTGTCCAAGAATTTTCAAAAGAAATTTTTTTTATTTTTTCTTATGAAATGGTAGAGAATCTTTTTGTGAAGGTAATAAAACAAAAAGTACGAAATTTGATGGAAAATTGACGAAATTATGCTCTCGTGAATTTTGATGTGTCAGCGATATTTACGAATCGGCGATTTTGCCGACTTTGACTCCCATTTTAGGCCAATTACATTATTCCAGTCGACCAAATTCTTAGCTATTTCACTAGTATTATTTCTATTCTATCGATTGAGCACAAGAAATCGCCAAGTCAACCATTTCAACTACAAAATAAAGTGACCGGAAATTGGTAATTTGGCCAATTTAACACAAAGTTCAAAATATTCCAATTCAAAATAGGGTCCAGAATAAACAATGTAGGTATTCCTGGCACTAAACTAACATTTCCTCTGTTCATTAGTTATGTTTTGAGGCTTTACAAATAAATTCCATTTGAATTTTTTCACATAATGAAAATTTTTAAATTTACACCAAAAAATAGAAGATTTACTGTTATGCAATATTGTAATAATTGTATAAATATCATCACCACCCTTTGTGAATGTTTTATTAGACCCACCAGCTGGTGTGTATAAGACGGTGAGGTCGTTTGTTTACTCTTGAACATCGGCAAAAATTTAACATTTCCGCCACTTTGAGCTCAGTTTCAAGCCATTTCCAGTGCTAACACCAATCAAAGTTATCTCTATTTCTGTGATATGTCTTCCATTCTATCAAATGAGACCCAAAAAATCACAAATACAACTATAAAAAACATACGAAAAAACACTGCAAAGTGGCTGTTTTAATCGAAAATCACGGTCTCAGTTTTTTTTCTCTCATTATACACAGTGTGCTGCAGGATTTGTTTTATGTGGTACACACATACCACATAGATGTATTCTCTCATATTTAGGCCCAAATTTACCACTCACAGTTTATCAGAGTGAGCTGAGCTCATGACGTAGATCTACGGTTTGGACCCTGAACGTAAAGCCGTAGATCTACGGGACGGACCCTGAAAGGGTTAAGCATCACTTTATTGCTGAAGTCAGGTTTTACCTGCACAACAAGAACCTTGCATTCAAGGCTCTCTTCATTCTTGGTAATTCCTGTACTCGTCCAGAAGCTTCCCTGAATGTTATCCCACATATAAAAGTTGTATTTTTACCTCCAGATACATCTTTAATGCAACCACTGGATTGGGGAGTTAAGTCATTGAAATGTAACTACACAAGAAAAGTGATAAAAAAACTAACTGCATCAGTGGACTCTAACTCCAACCTGGCAGTACCAAGCTTCTGGAATAATGTATAATGTACTGCAGAGTAAAAGAAGCCAGAGATCCATTACAGAATTTATGCACACTCCAATACAATCATTGACTTTAGTACCAGAACCTCAACAATTCACTTGTGCCAACAACCAACAACAATCCACCTCAGCCCAGTAAGGCCACACCATGCATCTCCACTCTTCACAATCACTGACATACACCAGCAACCACAATTTATGGCAAATAATAATATTTCTGTTGCATTTGTAGTCTTAAGCAACAAAAGCAACATTATCATTTTTATTTTTATAAGATCTGAATGTCTAAAAAAAAGTTGTTTGACTTTCGGGGGGGAGGGGTCCAGGACTGTAACCCTATTTTCCCATAAGTTCTTTAGTTTATATAACACAGATTTATCTAACACGGCATTTTCAGGTTAAGAGAGTGGTGAAGAAATGTAAGAAAAGAGCAAATAAGAGAGTGGGTGAGATGTTATCAAGAAATTTTGTTGAAAATAAGAAAGAGTTTTGGAGTGAGATTAATAAGTTGAGGAAGCCAATGGAACAAATGGATTTGACAGTTAAAAATAGGAGAGGAGAGTTATTAAATGGAGAGTTAGGTATCGGGAAGATGGAGGGAATATTTTGAGAAATTGTTGAATGTTGATGAAGGTGGGGAAGCTGTGATTTTGTGTATAGGGCAGGGAGGAATGATATCTTGTAGGAGTGAGGAAGAGTCACTTGTGAGTGTGGGGGAAGTTTGTGAGGCAGTGGGCAGAATGAAAGGGAGTAAGGCAGCTGGGATTGGTGGGATAAAGATAGAAATGTTAAAAGCAGGTGGAGATATAGTTTTGGAGTAGTTGGTGCTATTATTTAATAAATGTATGGAAGAAGATAAGGTACCTAGGGATTGGCAGAGAGCATGCGTAGTTCCTTTGTATAATGGCAAAAGGGACAAAAGAGAGTGCAGAAATTATAGGGATATAAGTCTGCTGAGCATACCTGGTAAAGTGCATGGTAGAGTTATTATAGAGTTATTATTATTGGAGTGTGAGCAAAGTGACACTTATGAAGGGATTCAGGAAAACCAGAAGGCCGGACTTAGTCCTGGAGATGGGAAGTACAGTGTCTGTACTCTGAATGAGGGGTGTTAATGTTGCAGTTTTATAACTGTAATGTAAAACACCCCTCTGGCAAGACAGTGATGGAGTGAATGATGATGAAAGTTTTTCTTTTTCCGGCCACCCTGCCTTGGTGGGAATCGGCTGATGTGTTAAAAAACAAAAATTACCTTGTAATACATGTATGAGGGTCTACTGTATATGGGGCTTATCTCCTGTAGTTATTAATTATAGCTCATTAGCAGAAGTTACATGATTGTTAGATTGAAGACAGGGAGCACAGAGCAAGCTTTTGACGATGCATGAGCTTTATCAAGGCACACTTGATAAAAGCTCATGCCTGAGTGAAACATTATCTAAAATAAAGGCTTCCTCTGCATTGTCTTTGTACGTGATCAATAGATCACTTTTAAGTTTTTCACCTGTCCTGTATCTCTTGGGTGTTTGTTTCATAAACTGCAGATGATTTACATCAACATCTAAGCTATTGTTGTATTATCTGATCATAGGGAAAATTTCCATTTTGAAATGTAACTATTCTTAATTTAACTTTTCTATCAAAAGAGGAAAAGGTTTTCCATACATTTTGGTGGCCATTTTAATTGAGACATCTCTGCCAGTGGTTCCTCAGTTTTCCCCATTGTTCTGTACAGCATTGTTTAAATTGCCAGCTTGACATTTCCTTCCAGCTTGAAACATTGTTATTTGCTTGATTCATTATGTTGCCTCCCTGTCATCTTTATCATACACTTGCTCTTCAGGTAAATTCATGGAGACAAAAACAGAATGGTAAAAATTACAAAACGTTATCACTATCTCAGAGTAATGCTAAACTTAAAATAAAGCCAGTGACTTGCACATCAGAGTCAGATATTAATGTCAACCCTCCTTCCTTAGCACAAGCACAGCAACAAATAATGTAACTAATAATTATGTATGTAGTAGGTTGGTAGACAGCAACCGCCCAGGGAGGTACTACCGTCCAGCCAAGTGAGTGTAAAACGAAAGCCTGTAATTGTTTTACATGATGGTAGGATTGCTGGTGTCTTTTGTCTGTCTATTAAATATGCAAGATTACAGATATGTCTTGCTGCTACTACTTACACTTAGGTCACACTACACATACATGTACACGTTTATTTATACACACTCATCTGAGTTTTCTTTGATTTTATCTTAACAGTTCTTGGTCTTATTACTTTTCCTTTTATATCCATGGGGAAGTGGAATAAGAATCTTTCCTCCGTAAGCCATGTGTGTTGTAAAAGTCAACTAAAATGCTGGGAACAATGGGCTAGTAACCCCTTTTCCTGTAAAGATTACTAAAAAGAATAAGAAGAAGAAAATTGTCAAAGTTGGAAGTCTGAATGTGCGTGGATGTTGTGCAAATGATAAGAAAGAGATGATTGTGGATGTTATGAATGAGAAGAAGCTGGATGTCCTGGCTTTAAGTGAAACAAAGCTGAAGGAGGTGGGAGAGTTTCGGTGGAGAGGAATAAATGGGATTAGGTCAAGGGTTTCAAATAGAGTTAGAGCTAAAGAAGGAATAGCAATAATGTTGAAGGATAAGCTATGGCAGGAAAAGAGGGACTATAAATGTATTAATTCAAGGATTATGTGGAGTAAAATAAAGGTTGGATGTGAAAAGTGAGTTATAGTAAGCGTATATGCACCTGGAGAAGAGAGAAGTGTAGACGAGAGAGATTTTGGGAAATGTTGAGTGAACGCGTGGGGAGTTTTGAACCAAGTGTGAGAGTACTTGTGGTGGGGATTTCAATGCTAAAGTGGGTAAAAATGTTGTGGAGGGAGTAGTAGGTAAGTTTGGGGTGCCAGGGGTAAATGTAAATGGGGAGCCTTTAATTGGGCTATGTGTAGAAAGAAATTTGGTAATAAGTAATACATATTTTATGAAAAAGAGGATAAATAAATATACAAGGTATGATGTAGCACGTAATGAAAGTTTGTTAAATTATATATTGGTGGATAAAAGGTTGATGGGTAGGCTCCAGGATATACATGTTTATAGAGGGGCAACTGATATATCGGACCATTGTTTAGTTGTAGCTACAGTTAGAGTAAGAGGTAGATGGGACAAACGGAAGGTGGCAACAACAAGTAAGAGAGAGGTGAAAGTGTATAAACTAAGGGAGGAGGACGTTCGGGTGAGATATAAGTGACTATTGGCAGAAAGGTGGGGGGTTGAAGAGGGTTGGAATAGTTTTAAAAATGCAGTATTAGAATGTGGGGCAGAAGTTTGTGGTTATAGGAGGGTGGGGGCAGGAGGAAAGAGGAGTGATTGGTGGAATGATGAAGTAAAGGGTGTGATAAAAGAGAAAAAATTAGCTTCTGAGAGATTTTTACAAAGCAGAAGTGTTATAAGAAGAGCAGAGTATATGGAGAGTAAAAGAAAGGTGAAGAGAGTGGTGAGAGAGTGCAAAAGGAGAGCAGATGATAGAGTGGGAGAGACACTGTCAAGAAATTTTAATGAAAATAAGAAAAAATTTTGGAGTGAGTTAAACAAGTTAAGAAAGCCTAGGGAAGGTATGGATTTGCCAGTTAAAAACAGAGTAGGTTAGTTAGTAGATGGGGAGATGGAGGTATTAGGTAGATGGCGAGAATATTTTGAGGAACTTCTAAATGTTGAGGAAGAAAGGGAAGCGGTAATTTCATGCACTGGCCAGGGAGGTATACCATCTTTTAGGAGTGAAGAAGAGCAGAATGTAAGTGTGGGGGAGGTATGTGAGGCATTACGTTGAATGAAAGGAGGTAAAGCAGCTGGAACTGATGGGATCATGACAGAAATGTTAAAAGCATGGTGGGGGGGGGGGGAGCGGGATAGTGTTGGAGTGGTTGGTACTTTTGTTTAATAAATGTATGAAAGAGGGGAAAGGTACCTAGGGATTGGCGGAGAGCATGTGTAGTCCCTTAATATAAAGGGAAGGGGGACAAAAGAGATTGTAAAAATTATAGAGGTATAAGTTGACTGAGTATACCAGGAAAAGTGTACGGTAGGGTTATAATTGAAAGAATTAGAGGTAAGACAGAATGTAGGATTGCGGATGAGCAAGGAGGTTTCAGAGTGGGTAGGGGATGTGTAGATCAAGTGTTTACATTGAAGCATATATGTGAACAGTATTTAGATAAAGGTAGGGAAGTTTTTATTGCATTTATGGATTTAGAAAAGGCATATGATAGAGTGGATAGGGGAGCAATGTGGCAGATGTTGCAAGTATATGGAATAGGTGGTAAGTTATTAAATGCTGTAAAGAGTTTTTATGAGGATAGTGAGGCTCAGGTTAGGGTGTGTAGAAGAGAGGGAGACTACTTCCCAGTAATAGTAGGTCTTAAACAGGGATGTGTAATGTCACCATGGTTTTTAATATATTTATAGATGGGGTTGTAAAAGAAGTAAATGCTAGGGTGTTCGGAGAGAGGGGTGGATTAAATTATGGGAATCAAATACAAAATGGAAATTGACACAGTTACTTTTTGCTGATGATACTGTGCTTATGGGAGATTCTAAAGAAAAATTGCAAAGGTTAGTGGATGAGTTTCGGAGTGTGTGTAAAGGGAGAAAGTTGAAAGTGAATATAGAAAAGAGTAAGGTGATGAGGGTATCAAATGATTTAGATAAAGAAAAATTGGATATCAAATTGGGAAGGAGTAGTATGGAAGAAGTGAATGTTTTCAGATACTTGGGAGTTGATGTATCGGCGGATGGATTTATGAAGGATGAGGTTAATCATAGAATTGATGAGGGAAAAAAGGTGAGTGGTGCATTGAGGTATATGTGGAGTCAAAAAACGTTACCTATGGAGGCAAAGAAGGGAATGTATGAAAGTATAGTAGTACCAACACTCTTATATGGGTGTGAAGCTTGGGTTGTGAATGCAGCAGCGAGGAGACGGTTGGAGGCAGTGGAGATGTCCTGTCTAAGGGCAATGTGTGGTGTAAATAGTATGCAGAAAATTCGGAGTGTGGAAATTAGGAAAAGGTGTGGAGTTAATAAAAGTATTAGTCAGAGGGCTGAAGAGGGGTTGTTGAGGTGGTTTGGTCATTTAGAGAGAATGGATCAAAGTAGAATGACATGGAGAGCATTTAAATCAGTAGGAGAAGGAAGACGGGGTAGGGGTCGTCCTCGAAAAGGTTGGAAGGAAGGGGTAAGGGAGGTTTTATGGGCGAGGGGCTTGGACTTCCAGCAGGCGTGCATGAGCGTGTTCGATAGGAGTGAATGGAGATGAATGGTATTTGGGACCTGATGATCTGTTGGAGTGTGAGCAGGGTAATATTTAGTGAAGGGATTCAGGGAAACCGGTTATTTTTATATAGCCGGACTTGAGTCCTGGAAATGGGAAGTACAATGCCTGTACTTTAAAGGAGGGGTTTCGGGATATTAGCAGTTTGGAGGGATATGTTGTGTATCTTTATACGTATATGCTTCTAAACTGTTGCGTTCTGAGCACCTCTGCAAAAACAGTGATTATGTGTGAGTGAGGTGAAAGTGTTGAATGATGATGAAAGTATTTTCTTTTTGGGGATTTTCGTTCTTTTTTTTTGGGTCACCCTGCCTCTGTGGGAGACGGCCGACTTGTTGAAAAAAAAAAAATGATGCAAACATATAAGGTCTTAAACCAAGCAACAACAGTGGCTTCTTCATTGAGTCAGATTCAGTGTTTACAGCCTCAAAAGTTTATTTAAGATATCCCGATGTTAAATATTACTTTGGCAATAAAATATGGATACCTGGGGTATAATCTGTTAAGATGGTAACAAAAAAAAAAAAGACTACAAGTGGTGGTTGGTTAGTAAGTTAGTCACTAATTTGCACTGAGCTATCTTAACACCAATGATGTATTTGAAGTTTAATCAGTGAAAATTTAAAAATCTAAATTAAGTTGCTGTTCTTGTATATATACTAGCAGACATCTTTCAGCAGTTTAAAAATCAGCAATCGAAAATTTATCATTTACTAGAAAAACTTTCAAACCTGGTTGCAGTCGTCCTGTTGCTTAGTGATTTCAATTTGACACTGAAAGTTGAATTTAGCAAATGTTATAAAAGCAGAAGTCCCATGAGGTAGTTTGGAGGAACAGTTGGTTACAAATGAACTGTTAGGACTAATAAATTCATCTAAAGTCAGCAAATAGTGGAGCTGACTGATTAGAAATTACCCTCGACTTACTTTCACAAATAATGAGGGTCTGAATTGAAACAAACTTGGTGTCTTAGACTGGATATTGTTGGTACACCAACAACTCATTTGAAGGCAGACAAACTTGAAGATCTGGGGAATGTACAGAAGACCTTCACTTTCTTCAGTTTTATTTCTGCTTCATTAAGACTGTGCCTCACACCTATGCAAAAATGTTGTCACCATTATACTCTTGTGCATTTTCCTTTTTGCCTCTAGATAAACTTTTATTTCCACAGACCCCTTGACACTTCACCTTTTACATATACCATTCTGTCAGCACATCTCTTAAATATTTAATTGCCTTTCTTAACAGATTTTTGTGAATGGTGAACATGTAACCAGCATTACTGATGGTGGAAGCTTTGGTGAGTTGGCCCTCATCTATGGTACACCGAGGCAAGCAACAGTAAAGGCAAAGACAGATACTAAGCTCTGGGGTATAGACAGAGATTCTTATAGACGGATTCTCATGGGCTCCACTATAAGGAAACGGAAAATGTATGAAGAATTCCTATCCAAAGTATCAATTCTTGGTGAGTATACAAATACTTGTCTTATTATCTATTATGATAAAACTGCAAACCACAGTATTCCTCTATTTGTATATCTTGATGCTGCCATGAAATTTCCTTTGTGATTGGTCATTACATAACAGTCCTAACCTGCTTTCTACTTGTTCATGGTTTTTGGGGATCATAGCACTTGTGGTCTGGTCTCAGACCAGGCCTGATATATGGCATGATCGATCTGGCTAGTATTGCGACCTGATTGCTGTCTAATTATATTCATCACAGCCTGGCTGATCAGGAACTACTTGGAGGAACTATGTAGGTTTCCTTTTCAAAACTATTAAAGGTCTGATGGTAGTTTTTTTTTTTTTATATATATTTGAAGAACATGGATCCTTTACACTTGATTGTCTTTTAGTGTCCATGCACTCTGTCTTTTCACTGGGGTTAACCCCCTTAACTGGCATACCCAAAAAATAAAATTCCTGTGTGTGGGGGAAGATTTTGAAAAAAAAAAAAAATGTTGGTTTGAAAGAGTATATTTTTTTTAACAGAATTAAACTAAAATGAGTGGAATCTAGAATAACTTATCATTTTAGGGTGTATTGAAGTTTGTTGATATTGACACACTGTTTGTAAAATCAATGCTATAGCACCAATTAGTTTTTTCAGTTTCCAGTTTTTCTAAGCCAAATAAAGTGTGATTTTCAGTTTTTTGTATGTATTGGTTAACACTAGTTACCACATTTTGCAGTGAAACTATCCTTATTTCAATCAAAAATAATACTGCAAATAGATTGGGAAGCACACCAGCACCATAAGAATATTATCAACACTGACTCTCCCCCCCCCCCCCCATCAAACCGGCCCTCTCCCACTGAGGTGGGGTGACCTAAAAAAAAAAAAACTAAAGTTTCTCTTTTTAAACTGAATAATATATAGAGGACAAAGGGTTACTAGCTCCTTGCTCCTGGCATTAAAAATATTGACTATATATCTGTACAAAATCATGGTTTACTTGTATTTGATGATTGTCATGGAATACTATGCAGTATACTGGTTTTTATTGCCATATTAGAGCTTTCAAGGTTTGATGTTCCTCAAATCATGGCTTGAGGCACAATGGAATACCGCACTACCTAGTAAAGCCATTGCTGCGCGTCCTGCCTAGGCTAGATAGTTTTAGCACGCTATTTACATCCCTTTTATTAATTCCTGTTTTCCATTAATACACCTCAATCATATCCCCCCTAATTCTACGCCTTTCTAGAGAGTGCTGAGGGCCCTGAATCTGCGCTCTCTAGAAAGGCGTAGAATTAGGGGGGATATGATTGGGGTTGTAAAAGAAGTAAATGCTTGGGTGTTGGGGAGAGGGGTGGGATCAAATTATGGGGAATCAAATGGGAGTTGACAGTTACTTTTTACTGATGATACTGTGCTTATGGGTGATTCTAAAGAAAAGTTGTAAAGGTTAATGGACGAGTTTGGGAGGGTGTCTAAAGGTAAAAAGTTGAAAGTGAACATAGATAAGAGTAAGGTGATGAGGGTATCAAACGATTTAGATAAAGAAAAAATGGATATCACATTGGAGAGGAGGAGTATGGAAGAAGTGAATGTTTTCAGATACTATTTGGGAGTTGATGTGTCAGCGGATGGGTTTATGAAGGATGAGGTTAACCATAGAATTGATGAGGGGAAAATAGGTGAGTGGTGCATTGAGGTTTATATGAAGATAAAAAACGTAGGTAGTAGGTTGGTAGACAGCAACCACCCAGGGAGGTACTACCGTCCTGCCAAGTGTAAAATGAAAGCCTGTGATTGTTTTACAAGATGGTAGGATTGCTGATGTCTTTTGTCTGTCTCATAAATATGCAAGATTACAGGTATGTCTTGCTACTTCTACTTACACTTAGGTCACACTACACATACATGTACACATTTATTTATACACACTCATCTGAGTTTTCTTTGATTTTATCTTAATAGTTCTTGGTCTTATTACTTTTCCTTTTATATCCATGGGGAAGTGGAATAAGAATCTTTCCTCCGTAAGCCATGCGTGTTGTAAAAGTCAACTAAAATGCCGGGAACAATGGGCTAGTAACCCCTTTTCCTGTAAAGATTACTAAAAGGAATAAGAAGAAGAAAATTGTCATAGTGGGAAGTCTGAATGTGCGTGGATGTTGTGCAGATGATAAGAAAGAGATGATTGTGGATGTTATGAGTGAGAAGAAGCTGGATGTCCTGGCTTTAAGTGAAACAGAGCTGAAGGGGGTGGGAGAGTTTCAGTGGAGAGGAATAAATGGGATTAGGTCAAGGGTTTCAAATAGAGTTAGAGCTAAAGAAGGAGTAGCAATAATGTTGAAGGATAAGCTATGGCAGGAAAAGAGGGACTATAAATGTATTAATTCAAGGATTATGTGGAGTAAAATAAAGATTGGATGTGAAAAGTGGGTTATAATAAGCGTGTATGCACCTGGAGAAGAGAGAAGTGTAGAGGAGAGAGAGAGATTTTGGGAAATGTTGAGTGAATGCGTGGGGAGTTTTGAATCAAGTGTGAGAGTAATGGTGGTTGAGGATTTCAATGCTAAAGTGGGTAAAAATGTTATGGAGGGAGTAGTAGGTAAATTTGGGGTGCCAGGGGTAAATGTAAATGGGGAGCCTTTAATTGAGCTATGTGTAGAAAGAGATTTGGTAATAAGTAATACATATTTTATGAAAAAGAGGATAAATAAATATACAAGGTATGATGTAGCACGTAATGAAAGTAGTTTATTAGATTATGTATTGGTGGATAAAAGGTTGATGGGTAGGCTCCAGGATGTACATGTTCATAGAGGGGCAACTGATATATCGGATCATTATTTAGTTGTAGCTACAGTTAGAGTAAGAGGTAGATGGGAAAAGAGGAAGGTGGCAACAACAAGTAAGAGGGAGGTGAAAGTGTATAAACTAAGGGAGGAGGAAGTTCGGGTGAGATATAAGCGACTATTGGCAGAAAGGTGGGCTAGTGCAAAGATGAGTAGTGGGGGGGTTGAAGAGGGTTGGAATAGTTTTAAAAATGCAGTAGTAGAATGTGGGGCAGAAGTTTGTGGTTATTGGAGGGTGGGGGCAGGAGGAAAGAGGAGCGATTGGTGGAATGATGAAGTAAAGGGTGTGATAAAAGAGAGAAAGGTAGCTTATGAGAGGTTTTTACAAAGCAGAAGTGTTATAAGAAGAGCAGAGTATATGGAGAATAAAAGAAAGGTGAAGAGAGTGGTGAGAGAGTGCAAAAGGAGAGCAGATGATAGACTGGGAGAGGCACTGTCAAGAAATTTTAATGAAAATAATAATAATTTTTAGAGTGAGTTAAACAAGTTAAGAAAGCCTAGGGAAAGTATGGATTTGTCAGTTAAAAACAGAGTAGGGGAGTTAGTAGATGGGGAGATGGAGGTATTAGGTAGATGGCGAGAATATTTTGAGGAACTTTTAAATTCAAATTCAAATTCAAAGTTTATTCTCTATAAAGATTACAATGTTGAATTTACAGAATTTGGTTGTTGTGTGGTTTACATGTAGTTAAATAATGATTACAGAGTGTACCACTAGAACGCCTAGCATGGCTAGGCATTTCGGGCAGACTTAGTTTAATTCTTTATTTTAAAATATTACAAATTATGAGGTAAGTTGGTATTATGGCTAAGTGACTAAATACTAGTTTGTGAGTTTAGCAATGTGAATGCTTTTGTTTTGGCACAGTACATAGTTTTAGTATTGGAGTATCATAGGATTCATTATTTTAAGATTGAGATTAATATTTCTGTTTATGGTCAAATGGGTGAGTGAATGTAAGTATGAACCACCAGGTGGTATTCGTGTAGTTAGTTGATGGGGTTTATCAGGGAGATAAGATGTTTTCTAATGGTAGTTTTGAAGGTGATGAATGTGTCTGCAGTTCTAGAGTTCTCAGGTAGTGTGTTCCAGATTTTAGGGCCTTTGACATACATTGAATTTTTGTAAAGGTTTAGTCGGACATGGGGAATGTCATAGAGATGTTTGTGTCTGGTGTTATGCCCGTGAGTTCTGTCACAACTATCAAGAAAGCGTTTTAGGTCAAGGTTGATATTGGAGTTTAAGGTCCTGTAGATGTAGATTGCACAGTAGTAAGTTTGGATGTACTGAACAGGGAGTAAGTTTAGATCTATGAAGAGTGGGGGGGTGTGTTGCCAGGGATGGGATTTAGTGATTATTCTTACTGCAGCTTTTTGTTGGGTTATTATTGGCTTTAGGTGTGTTGCTGCAGTTGATCCCCAAGCACAAATAGCATAGGTGAGGTATGGATAAATAAGTGAGTGGTATAGTGTGAGAAGGGCATTTTGCGGCAACGTAGTATCGTATCTTGGAGAGGATCCCAACTGTTTTGGATACTTTTTTGGTTATGTGTTGGATATGGGTGCTGAAATTCAGGTTGTTGTCAAGGTATAGGCTAGGAATTTGCCCTCATTATGTCTGGTAATTAGTGTGTTGTCGATCTTAATGTTAATTGTGCATCTCTGCTCTGCTACCAAACATAATATAGTAGGTTTTGTCAGTGTTAAGCGTAAGTTTATTGGCTGTATCCAAGTCGATATTTTGATCAGCTCCTCGTTAACAATGGTGTTGAGGGTGGCAAGATTAGGGTGAGAGATGACATGAGTCGTGTCGTCAGCAAAGAGAATGGGTTTCAGGTATTGGGATACGTTTGGGAAGTCATTGATGTATATGAGGAAGAGCAGGGGACCAAGGACACTTCCCTGCGGAACTCCAATATCAAGTGCCGTGTTGTTGATGCTGTGTCTTTAATGGTAACATACTGATACCTATTAGTAAGGTAAGATTTGAAATAAGCAAGTGCATGCCTCTTATACCGTAATGGTCAAGTTTGTGGAGTAGGATGTCGTGGTCTACTGTGTCAAAAGCTTTTCTTAGGTCAATAAAATTCCTAGTGGATATTCCTTATTTTCCAATGCTGTGTAAAGCAGATCTAGCATTTTTATGATTGCATC